CCCAAACCCCCTTTTGCTCTGCCCCACAGATCACTCTCCAATGCCTTCTGCAAAATTCTATTCTTCGTGCGGTCCTGCAAGCCTTCCAACCCTTAGCCCTTGAGATAATGCTGCCCAAGTCTCCACCTGGCATAAAAGGAAAAAAAAATTCTTCTTCGCTAAAAATCATTAGGACACTATGAAGAGTTCATTCGGCACTGTTTCGGGCACTAGAGTGGCGGATGCTAACATAGGTTAGAGTTCCGAACCCAGGGTTCTGGAACTCCGAACTAAGAGTTCCGAGCCTCGAACCCAGGGTTCGAACATCGAAGTTCCCTCCCGAACCCTGGGTTCGAACTTTGAGTTGAACTCCAAGTTGAACTCAACTCCGAACTTCTTGAACTGGAGTTGAACCTGGAGTTGAACTTTGAAAGGCAAAGAGTTTGAACTCTTGTCTCATTGCTTCTTGTTCTCTCATTTTATTTTTTCGCAAAAAACCCCATTAGCGATTTCGTGTGTCTTCTTCTCTTTTGCTTGTGCTTGCGGTTGAGTTTGTGGTTTCTGTCCTTGTAGTGTGCTCTCAGAAATTTTATTCGCAAAACCACCCACAAAGCGATTCTGTGTGGCTTCTTCTCCTTTTGTTTGGTGATTGTTGGTGTTCTGTTCGAACCCCGTTCGAACTCTGGGGGGAGTCTAGAACCCGGGGAGTTCGAACCCCGTTCGAACTCTGGGGGGGAGTCTAGAACCCGGGGTTGGGCGGTTCATTTGTTCGCGCCTTTAGCATTCTCGTAGGAGACTTCATGTCCTTCTGAAGCCCCCTTGAGAAGAAAGACTCTTCATCATTGACAATCTTTTTCTTTGTTTTGTCTTTCTTTGATTTCTTCGCAAAAACCACCATAAAGCGGTTTCGTGTGGCTTCTTCTTCTTTTGTGGCAGGGACTGGTCATTGGTTGTCTTTTTCTTTGTTTTCGGCAAGCTTCTAAAAACAGCGGGGGGGTTGGGGGGGGCGCAGCCCCCCCCCAAACGTGGAGTTCCCGAACCCAGGGGTCGAACGCCCCGGGGGGGACGAATTCCAGAACCCGAGGTTCCAACATAGAGTTCCCCAAACCCCGGGTTCCAACATAAAAGTTCCCGAACCCAGGGTTCGAACTCCCTGGGGGACGGGGGGGGGTTCCGGAACCCGGGGTTCCGGTATAGAGTTCCCCAAACCCCAGGTTCGAACATAGAGTTCCGAACCCAGGGTTCGGACTCTCTGGGAAAGGGGGAGGAGTTCCCGAACCCGGGTTCGAACGTGGAGTTCTCCAAACCCCGGGTTCGAACATAGAGTTCCCGAACCCAGGGTTCGAACATAGAGTTCCCGAACCCCGGGTTCGAACATAGAGTTCCCGAACCCAGGGTTTGAACATAGAGTTCAAACTCCAGGTTCAACCTGGGTTCGAGAAGTTCGAACCCAGGGTTCAACCCTGAGTTCCGGAGTTATATGTTCTCCCCCCCCTCCCCGGGCCCCCCGGGAGTTCGAACCCTGGGTTCCGGAACACTCCAAAAACCTATGCTCGGCGGATGCAGACGAATGTGAAATCGCAAGTGGCGCATCATGGGCATTGTTTTCCAGGCCCCGAAAATGCTCGTAAAGACGCGCACCAGAAGCTTGCCGACAAGTGCAAGAAGAGCTGTGAGAAACAGAACAAGATTCAGTCCGAGACAGCTGAGACCCCATCTGCTGAGGGGCGCGAACACGGCCCCGTCAGTCGGCAAATCGCTGATGGCGTTCTGCTAAGAAATGATTTTTTCTCACGTGTTCGAAACGGACTCTGATCGTCTGGTGAGAACCACATCCACGGAGCTAGCAGCAGTGCACAGCGATTGTTCGCAAAGTACAGAGAGTAAGCCTCTACAGACCAAGATCCTCTCTGATTGGCAAGAAATAAACGCAAGCATTCGTCCTTTCTTTTTGTCGGCGAGCTGATTTAGACCGCCTGAGAGCGGTGCCTCTCGACCAACCTCGAGGCTTCCCCTGCCGTGGCTTGGGTTCGAAGCTTGAACCTCAGCGCAACAGCGTCAAATCTTCTTGGACGCTCCGCCTGGACAGTGCTTGAGCGTGGAGAGTCTAAGGCAGGCGCATCGGTCAGCGGAACGCCGCATAGGCTCTTTCCCGTTTCCAACTGCACCTTGATGTCGCGCAGAGTCTTCTTGACGGGAGTCCGTGGCGGAAGCATTGCAACAAAAGGAGAGTTGTTTTTTTCCAGACGAAGCGGGCTTTGAGGGTTGCAGATAGGCAGAGAACCAGAGCTGAAGTTCTGTACCTAAGCTTGCGTTTCTCTGCTTGTTCAAAAAGCTTGTGATGCTGAAAGAACAAGTCTGTAATAAAAATGACAGCTCAGACTCTTAGCCAAAGTGTCTATTTTTCGGAAACGTCGAGTCGCTTGGCTTTCAAGTGCGCACTACCATTGTCAAAATCGATCGGGGCCATTTCTCTCTGTGTGCCTCCACCTGTTGTGTGTCCTACCCACGGGAGGGAAGCTGGGCCTGCGGTACGAGGGGCGCCAGACGCGGCTGATTGTGCTGCTCTGCGAGGTCTACCATGGTGGAAAGCTGGACTTGGATCAAAGTGCTTGTGTTTGCTGGCACCGGCTCTGTGGGCAACTCCAGCCCAGTGCCTCATTTTTTTGGCGTGCTTACTCTCCTTGGGAAACTCGGTCAAGAGCACCAAAAGGATTTTCAGCCCATGTTCCGGTGCGAGCACGTGCACGGCAGGTACAATGCAGCATGCTGTGAATTGTGCGTCTGCCCTTGCGAGACCCACCATGTTGGGAAGCTGGGCCATTTATTTTCTAACGCATTTGCCACTGGGACATGTTGCTTTATGGATGCTTGTACAGTGTATGCTCCGCCATGGCCACTCTTGCCATCGCGTGCCCCCTCCGGGTTCGTGCCGAGTACACCGGCACATTCGAGGCCGTCCTTGCTGGCTAAGTCTGCAAGTCGCGGCCGGTTTCACCTTCACCTGATTCTTTTTGTACAGCTTCTTTCTTGTTTTCTTGTAGTTCTTACTGGGACCGAGTGCAGCAACTGCTGTCTTTGAGGCCCGCCCACGCCAAAAAAAACGTCGAGTCGCTCGCACCCACTCCGCGACACGTCGCAGCGGGCTTCGAGCCGAGAGAAGCGCAGATAAAAATACTCTGGACGAAAGACTGATTCGGCGCGGTTCCAGCAGACTGCCAGGGCAGCCCTGATGTCATACCCGTTGAGCTGGTTCTTGTCTTGTGCACTATGGGGTCCACGTGTATTCGATTTCAATGCTGAAGTCCACAGATTCAGTTTCTTCGTTGCCCACAACTCCGCACGAATGACTCTGTCACGGAATCGGGCGAGCATTGCACTGTGTTGACCACGCTGCATTGCAGCTGGCGTTGCTTTGCAGACTGTTCGTTTGGACCGCTCCGTGTGAGGCCGTGACATGCCTGAAAGAGTGTCACTGCCCACATCTTCTCCAGCTTTGCACCTGCGGATCGACGACATGGAGATGTCTCCCGCAACGGAGAAGACCATTGCTTCTGCTGCTCTTCGTAAGCCAGAAAGCGCGCGGCTTTTTTGAGGCCCTTTGAATTGGAGCTCTGATGCTTGCCTCTGCCATCGTCACTTTTTGCATGGGGTTGGTTGGAGTACCGCTTTCCGGCTCTAAAAACTGGTGTACCGAAGCCATGGATTGTTGAATTTAAAACTAGCTGCAACGGAACGGTTGGAAGGGAGCTGACCGTCGGCGGTGCTAGAACGAGTCTGAGCCTCAGAGACCGTACCAGGCGAAGGAGTGACGGCTCCTTTGGTTGCTAAGTCAGATCCACCGCTGTCTTGTTTGCGGGACCTGTGCTCGCCGCAGTCGAGGATTTTCTGGCCCCTGTGCTTTCGAACCGTTTTTCGTTAGCTGCTTTTCGTGGTTTGACCTCCAGGGGAACTGGCTGATGCTGTCGACAAAGGCCCGCACAAGCCAAAAAAGTGTATGTATGTTTCTTGTTTTGTTCCGGAAGTTGCCCTGGGTTTGAACCTGGGTCAACCTGGTTGAACCTGGGTGTGTAAACCTGCAGATGTCACGGTTTGCATGCGATGCGCTCCAAATTAATTTTTTGCAGTTCGTGCAAAGCATTGGAATTTGGCCTTGTACCCTTTCAGGGGTATCAAGAGATCCACTCACGGTTTTGGCGTGGTGTGAACTTGTCAAACCGCAAGTCCGGCCGGCTCTTGTTCGATGAGCTGGATGGCCTGGCTGCGAATCTGCCAGGTGCACGGTGGGGATATCCACCCGCGAGTTTCATACAAGCTTCGCTGATGACATGCCGCGCGCAAGCGTCTGATCTTGGAGGGGTTCGACTAGCGTGAGATGAGATCATCGTAGTTACTGGTTGGTATCTTGAACCAAAGGTTTCAGCTGATAGAAGAGCCCACACAAAACAGCCGCAAACAAAAGCTTTGCTGCAAACAAGGTAAAGTAAGATCGGTGCCGCTGAGGCTAACCGACTTCATTGTTGACAAACAGCATATTACAAGTGTTTTGTCGGAACAAGTGTTCCAAGGCAGTACAGCTCAAGCGATGAGTTCATAAATTGAAAGGGATGCCCCCAAAAGCACCTCAGTGCGTGTGATCGAAGGATTTCAATTAGTTGGTTTTTGAAAGAGTTCGTGACGGGTTTCCTTAAAGGTGCTTACATAACGGCACCTAGGCAAGCAAGAACAGCAGTCGTGCAACTTGTTCAATGGTGAAGGCACGGAACAACGTGCAATGTGAGTATCGTTTGATTCCATTTGATACGTCAGTTTTTCAATCTGTCGTTTCTGTCGATTTTGGCCCAGCTGGACCGCAGCAATTGGTTGAGCATCAAAATGAAAGCAACATTGAAACTGCCACTTGAGACTCATGTCCGTGGTGGAAAGCCACATGCCAAGATTAATCGCACAGATGAGCGGGACGTGCTGGTGTTACACGTCCCCGTTCAACGTAGCAAGCTATATAACCCGCCCAACGCATTATGACCATCAACAAGATGGCCGTGCAAATGATGCCATGGGGCCGGATGTCCATGCGGCGAACACACTTGCAACTTTCCAACGCCCATGGACATCAGTTCCGTTGTTTTTCTGCTCCGACGGATGGCTTATCACTGATAGAGATGTATCAGTCGCAGGCAGGGTCCAAGCAGTTGCATGGATCTTGCTGAAACCTTGCATCTCAATGGTTTGTGTAAGCCAGAAGAATTTCATCCTTATTTAGCGTTGATGGGCGCGCACAACCAGGATTAGCTTGCCAAGTTTGACTGCAAGTACATTAGCTGGAAGTAAAGCGGTATATGTAAAACATCAGTGGGCAGGTAGAACTCAAGTTTGCAATTTGTTGGGTAAGATGACAAAGCCTACATGTGGGGTATTTGTGGATAATTGAAGAGATTCGACGCAGGTGGCGACGGGAACGCGACGGCACACTGCAGCGCAGTTGCCGTGCTTGGAGCGCTTAGACCTGCTGCATAGGGAGCTGACATCCTCGAAGCGATCCCAACCCAGAGGTAGACCGGCTGGGGATTTTCAAAGTTATAGGGACCTTAATGTCAGTAGGATTTCGGGATATTTTATGAAATAGTACAGTAGGGTCGCAGGGTCTGTGGGTTTAGGGTTGAGTGTTCGAGGCATCTTCCGGCGCAGCGGCGGGTAATCTAAGCTACAATTTAGGCAATTCCTTATTGCTGGGAGCGGTCCCCGAGTTGGAATGTGGAGGGTTTTCGAGACCTGCATGCCACTGCATAGGGGACTTGGCTCCTGGGATCTAGACTACAATGCCAGGCATAATGTCACAGCACAATGCGACCCGCATGCTGCCTGCACTGATACTTTGTTGCAAGCTGGCTTTGCGCGAAATTTCCAAAACCACATCTGCGGCCCTGAAGACGGAATCCGAAACCTCGAGTTCGCAAGACCCGGGTTTACTTGGAGGATCATGGGACTTAGTAAGTAGGGTTATAAGTACCTTAATTGGGGTTAAAAATAACTATAACTGTAGTTACCTTACTTTTAACCCCAATCACTAAGTCCCATGATGCTTTAAGTAGGGGCCTTCCTGAAGGCATCTACATCTACGGTGATCCCGGGGCTGGAAAGACCATGATGATGGACATGTTCTACGACCGTGTCCGTGAGCAGGGTGTGGCAAGCCACAGAGCTCATTTCCACGACTTCATGTTGGACATGAACAAAAGCCTGTAGCTGGGAAGAACATATTGAGATTGCAAGAAGTTTAGGAGGCAGAAAAGGCAGCCTAGCGGACATGCAACGTGATTGAAGATGCGCGCTTAGAGCATACTTGCTGTCGGCAGTGCGACGCCGAGGCACAAAGTCAAAAACAGTATCTCATCCACTCCTACAGGTGAAGTTTGGTATAACATAGTGCGGTGCGGGCTTCGCAGTATCATGTAGCATTCGGCAGCAGAACCCGAAACCCGAAACCCTAAACCCGAAACCCCAGGCCCATACCCCAAACCCTAATCGCGCAGCATCCCAGGCATCGAATCCGGAAGGACCGAGTTTGTGGCGGGCGTGTAAAGGGTTCGGAAACCTACCGCTTAAGGCACCTCAGCAAGAAAGGCATAGATCCCCATTCTGGTAAAGGCAAGGCAGGAAGTTTCTTCAACCCATCCCTAAACCTTAAACCCTAAACCCTACACTCTAAACCCTAAACCCTGAACCCTAAACCGGAGGATGTGGGCAAAATGGCAGATCCGTTGGCTCTGGTCGCGCAAGAGTTTGTCTCTTCCACGCCACTGCTCTGCTTCGACGAGTGCCACGTCCTGAACGTCGGAGATGCGCTGCTGATGTGCTCGTTCTTTAAGCACCTCTTCAAGGCTGCCGTAGTCGGTTACTTGGAAGGGCAGGGGACTTAGTAAGTAGGTTATAAGTAGGGTTATAATTGGGGTAACTCCATTTAGGGTACTTATAACTCTACTTATAACCTACTTACTAAGTCCCCTGTCCCTCCAAGTAAGGTATACATCAGATGCATATAGGTAAGAGCGTGCAGGTAGATGGAGTCATACCGTGTAAAGGGCTAGTCATGCCAAAGCTTGTAAACTTTCTGTCGCGCAACAGAAGAATAGAAGTTCAAGTGAAGAAAGACATACGCAAACGTGTGTTCATCTATACATATGCATTCAAGGCCTCTGTTTATGAAGTCTTTTTGTCCTTAGGCATCTTAAGTCCAGGCCGGCGGCACGGTTGTGGCGACGTCCAACTTGGCGCCGGAGGAGCTGTATTCCTCCGGCATCAACCGTGAGGTCTTTCAGCCGTTTATCGATTCCATCCTGGACCCTCAGGTTTGCATTACGAGGGTTTCTGTATGGGTTCCTGTCACGATTCCCGGCTTCCTGCAAGAGTTCCTGGAAAGGTTGGTGCGGGATAACGTGCAAGGTTACCGTAAGGGTCATCGTCACTGTAAGGAGGTGAATTCACTGCCCGATACATCTTCGGTGTAACTTCTGAGGTTGATAAGACAGCGTTTTCAGCTTTCCACCCACCTGGATAAAGGGTCAGAAGTGTTTTGTTTATCCACTCCATCCGCCTGCCTGGATTCCTCATGGCTGCACCAAAGCCCTCAGTAACGGGCGGACCAATCCTCCAAAGCGCATGCCCAGCCCTGAACCTTGACCCCGGCCCACAGCAGAATGAACCCAAAGCCTTAAACCTTTTGACGTCACTAAACTAAACCCTGAACCTAAAACGACCCCTGAACCCAATCCCCGAAACCCTAAACCCCAAATCCTAAACCAGAGACCACAAGCCTGAACCATGTCCCCTAATTAAGGGAAAAACTTTATATAAACGATGGTACCTAAACCCTAAACCCTATAGATCCCTTAATTAGAGGAAAAATTTGAACTATAGTACCTAGACCCTAAACCCTATAGATCCCTTAAGGCAACCCTGCCCTGACTTTCAAGGATCACTGCGACCCCGTGCGTCTCGCAGCCGGCGAGGACTTCCGAGCCACGAAGTCGGCGCAGCTGGCGGCCTCAGGTGGGGCGGTAGGGTCCCTTTAAGGGTCCCTTTAAGGGAGCTGTAGGGGTACTATAAGGGTTTAGAGTGTAGGGTCTACTTAAAGGATCATGGGACTTGGTAATTGGGGATATAAGTAGGGTAACGACACTTGTAAGTACTTATAGCCCCAATTAAGGTACTCATAACCCTATTTACTAAGTCCCATGATCCTCCAAGTAGGGTTTTACAGGGGGTGTTTAGGGTTCAGGGTTTAGGGTTTAGGGCTCTACCGGGGCTTCGGGGGTTAAGGGTTAAGGGCTCTGCAATGTAGGATTTGGGGTTTAGGGTTCAGGGTTTAGGATTTAGGGCTTAAGGGTTTGGGTATGTTTGGGTATCAGGGTGTTACTAGGTCGTAGGATCCTTTTCTTAAGTAGTCTGTCAAGCCGAAAACGGATCCCCTTGTTTTTCTGAAACCCGAGATCCTTTCCAAAAGCCCGCTAAAAAACCCTTCAACCCTAAAACCCTAAACCCTGTAGACCCTCAACCCTAGACCCTTTAATGTTTAGGGTTCAGGGTCTATAGACCTTCAACCCTAAACCCTATAGACCTTCAACCCTAGGCGCTAAGCCCTAGACTTTTCGTCCGCATGGGGGTAGACCTACTTCTGCTGCACCTTACCCAGAGACTCCAATATCCCTTAATTAAGGATTTTTTCATATTAGGGATCCTACTGTAATTTAAGGTATATTCCTTAATTAAGGGATATTGGAGTCTCTGGGTAAACAAAATCAAAAACTTTTCGTCTGCAGGTGGAGATCGGGCCTTCTTCTGGCCCCTGGGACCCGAGACGGACACGCGGCTCCTGGAGAGGTGGCCCTCTCAGAGATGCTTTTGGGTTTAGGGCATAAAGAGGGTTCATAAAGGTTTAGGGTTTACAGGGGTTAGGGTTTAGGGTGGATAAGGGTTTAGTTTTTCGGGTTTAGGGTTTGTTAGGGTTGAGGGCTCAGGGTCAGAACAAGCCCGAGCCCCAGAATTGAGGATGCGGTTATAGGGCTCAGGATTGAAGTTGAGGAAGAATGCAGACCCTTCATGCATAAGCCCCGGGACCTTGAATGGGTTGTAGTGTAGGGATCCTTATTAGAGAGCCCTCGTTCCTTTGGTACCGGAGCTTGGAGTCGTTGGATAGGGGAGGATCGTGGAGGGTTTAGGGGTGTCTTCGGGCTTTCAAGGCTTTTAGGGCTTTTGGGGAGGGCTTTTAGGGCTTTAGGGCTTTAGGGCTGTAGGGGTTTGGGGGTTCAGGGTTTTGGGATTGGGTTTCCCCTCCATTCAAACAATTTGAGTGTGTCTGGACTTTACCACTGAATCCCTAAACCCATCTATGCTGGAAGGTGGATGCCTTACGCCCCAACTCGCAAATCCCAAAGCCGCAAACCCTATCTGAGAGCTTCATAGTTTCGTGTCCAGCATTTGGGATGTTTCGGTCTAGGACCCGCTGGGACTTCATATACTTCATATGTAGTGTGCACAGAGGGTCCATACATGCTACCATTATGGAATGAGGTCCCCGAAACCATAGCAAGGATGGGCTTTTGGGACCGAGTTCCATAATAGTAGTATACATGGACCCTCTAGCGTAGTTACCTTACACCCAGAGACTCCAATATCCCTTAATTAAGGAATATTCCTTAAATCATATTAGGGATCCCTAATATGATTTAAGGAATATTCCTAAATTAAGGGATATTGGAGTCTCTGGGCACTCGTAATGTTGCGTCCAAGCCGGTATGCACCGTTAAGTAGAAGCTCTGGGATTTCGGAACTAGACTCTGAAAAACTCTAAAAGTCGGGGTTTAGGCTTCAGGGTTCAGGGTATAGGCTTTAGGGTTTAGGATAGAAACACCTGAAACCAAGAACCCTGCCTTTTGGGCGGGGGTGCGGCCTTTAGGAACTGGAACTTTAGGTCCATGGGCAACTACATGACACGGTTCAGGGTTTGGGTGGGTTGAGGGCTTAGGGTTTTGTGGGCCTTTGTCTGTTGTTAGGGGAACCATGCTACCCTGGCCCTAACAGCTGCAGCCGCAGTTCAGCCACAGCATGCACAGCACTGTCGCTACAGCATAGCTGCTCATGGCAGTGCATGTTGAAACCATCCAGAAACCCTCCCTTGAGCTCCACAGCTGCTTGGAACGTGCTGGACCCTAAGGCACACTCAGAACCCTGCCTCAGGAAGGCAGTTTCATCTCAACCCCGCCCGGACCACCCCAAAACGTCGGCAGAACAGCCTCTACATGAGGAAAAGGGCGCACCTCAAAGACAAAAGACACCGAAACAAACCAGACCAAAAGCCCAACTATCACAAGAAAGCTCGTGCAAATCCTGATCAACCACAGCCTAAGCCCAAAACTTTAAACTCTAAACCCTTAAACCGTAAATGCTAACCGTCCCAACATCCTACATCCCTAAACCCCTATAGATCCCTTATGGATCCCTTTAAAGGAACCCCTATAGATCCCTTATGGATCCCTTTAAAGGAACCCTGATAGATCCCTTCTGGATCCCTTTAAAGGAACCCCTTAAAGATCCCTTTAGCAGGTTGGAGAGCATCTTGGGGGACTGTTCCGGGCCGCAGTTCGAGAGAATTGCCGTGCCTATGGGCCGAGTGCTGCCCTGCAGCCGAGCTCTGGTGACAGCTTTGGAGTCTTTAGGGGGGTTCCTTTAAAGGTTCTTTTTACGGGTTCTTTTGAAGGGTTACTATAAGGGCTCAGGAAGGGCTCTGTGGGTATCTATAGTCCTTTAAGGGTTCCTTTCAGGGATACTATAATGGGCCGAGTGCTGCCGTGCAGTCGAGATCAGGCGATAAGTTAGTTTTCAAGGGCTCCTACTAAAAGGGATCCTTAAGGGACTTTCATAGGGATCCATCCCCCCATTCGCCACTAAGAGCCAGACAGGAGGTTTCGAGGGCTCCTTTTTTGGGATGGCAAGGGCGCTACAAGGGTTCTACGGGGGGTTTAGGGCCGGGGGTTTAGGTCGGTTTAGGAGATCAGGGTTCTAAAGGTTCCGCCGCGAGATTGCAGGCTGTTTCAAGACTTTTAGGATTCGAGCACTTTGTGACGTAGCGACTGGTTTGGGTCTATAAGTGATAGGGGGTTGATGCTCAACGACGTTTCAGGTTCCACGATTTGGGGCTTGGGTCTTGTCTGGCACGTAGCCGAGGAGTGTGGAGAGGAAATGGCGTGGCTGCCGCAGATTTCTCCTTCGAGGAGCTCTGTGTGGCAGCTGTGGGCACTCACGATTACATAGCTGCTTGAAAGTACTTGGAGGATCATGGGACTTAGTAAGTGGGGTTATAAGTACCTTAATTGGGGCTATAAGTAATTATAACTGTAATAGCTTTACTTATAACCCCAATTACTAAGTTCCATGATCCTTTAAGTAAGAGACAGCACGAAGCCTGGGAAGCCTTCTCCGAGGCTCTTCAAGCTTAAGGAGGTTAGGGCCTTAGACCCCTTAGGGTTTAGGGTTCAGGGTTTGCCCCAAGTCATGCTTCGAGGCTTTGTGCGAAGCTTTTGATGTCATCGTGGTCCGACGGGTGCCGCGCTTCGCGTCCTCGGACGAAAACGCTGCTCGACGTTTTGCATCTTTGGTCGACGTAATGCGTCTGACCTGCAATGAGCTCTCGCGCGGCCTTTACGGACATACCAATGTTCAGATGCTTCTACCATTGGGGTTTAGGGTTTTAGGGTCCAGAGAGAAGGTTTGGGTTTTTTTTGGTGCCCGGGGTTCTTGCTTAAAAGCATGCGCACCTCTCTTCTGGGCCCTCACCAGGTATGATCGGCAGAAGCGGCTGCTCTGCACCATCGACGCCCCTCCCGGGGAGCTCTTCGCCTCCATTCGGGAGCAGTACAGCGGGGGTGCCGAGGACGAGCAGGGGGCCTCTCAGGCTGGGGATTGGGGTTTAGGGTTTAAGGCTTAAGGTTTAGGGTTTAGGGTTTAGGGTTTAGGGTTTAGGGTTCAGGGTTTAAGGTTTAGGGTTTAAGGTTTAGGGTATAGGTTTAAGGTTCAGGGTTTAGGGTTTAGGGTTGAGGTTTAGAGTGTAGGTTTAGGGTTTAGGGTTTAGGGTTTAAGGTTTAGGGTTTAGGTGGGGTCTTGCTACTTAAAGGCTCATGGGATTTAGTAAGTAAGGTTAGTTATAAGTAGGTTATAATTACGATAACCCCACAGACTTAGGGGACTTATAACCCCAATTGTAACCAATTTACTAAGTCCCATGATCCTTTACGTAAGGAATGGTGTTGAAGCTTTCATGAATAAGGAAGCCGTGTGATTAGCCATAGATCCCTTACTATGGTATCGTTACTATAGTAAGGAAACCCCATCATTAGCTACAGATCCCTACCTATCACGTTATGGCACCTTAACTTAAGCTCCTTAACAAGAGCCCAGCAGGTGCGCATGCCGTCGCATGGGGGCTCCAGTGGCAAGCATGTGGCCCAGTTCCGGCTCCCCCAGTCCGTGAAGTACACAGAGAGCGGGGGCTACAGCACCGACGGCTCTGAAGCTCCGAAGGTCTTTGAAGGGCCCCCTTCCAAAGGATGTAAGATGGGAGATCCCTATCCCATTCCCTGCTTCCGTGCTTTTTCTGGTTCCCGCAACTCTTTTATGTTTATTTTTTTGCGTGCCTTGTTTGGGGTCCCCTCGAGGTCGAGAAGGACTTGGACCAAGGCTGGGTGGAGTGGTCGGCGACTGGATTGAAGGATGCCTCGATGTTCGACCTCACGTGTCACACCAAGGTGCAGCCCAATCATTAAATCCCAAACTCCAAGTCCCTGAACCCTAAACTCCCTCCGCCCATGCAACCCCAAAATTCTTAAACCTTCTGCCCCAATCCGCAAATTCCCGAGCCCTAAACCATAGGTGCAGCAGCATGATCGCCTGCTGCCGCTGCTCCGCTGCGAGTCTCGGCTTGAGGAGATGTCGTACATCCAACTCGAGGGCTTGACTCAGTGAGGCCTGTTGGGGGATGCCTAGATATTCTAGGTTTTTCTCGTCCTCCCTCTGAGGCCACAGGTACAGACTATGATCCTAGGCTTCAAAAAGGGGCAGCCAGGCCTTAAATCTTAGTCTCAGCAGCAGGGTGAAACGAGTTGCTTACGCGCCCCCCCCCTTCAGAAGCCCTGGTAAGCGAATCTGCATGTGCCTTCCGTGCATCGCCGCATTTTCGGCGAGTTCTCAAAGGGAACTCGTTTCTCCAGATCTCCTAATGGCTTCTTCTGCCATGCTGGGATAAGGCCAGCGGTGGCACCCTTCCATGTCAACGTCCCGCAGTTCAAAAATTGACCTAAACCCTAAACCCTAAACCGGATTTGCGCTTGACAGCCTGCGAGGTATGAACTAGAGCCTCAGGCTCTTGGGTGGATGCTTATGATTTACAGCCTGCTCTTACCCAGAGACTCCAATATCCCTTAGTCAATAATATCCACTACATCATCCGTAACATGATTCATATAAGGTATATTCCTTCATTCCCATATAGAACCCCTATAGATCAATTTGAGGAATCCTTTGAGGAACCCTTCGGTATCCTTACTTATCCTCTTTTCATGATATCGGAGTTTCCGAAAATTAGGCGGAACCCTTATCAGGGTTACTGTATTAGTCTGCTCCTATTTTCGGTAAGCCCCATATTCTCCGTAGCCCTAAACCCTAAACCCTAGCCCTATAAAGTCTAACCCCAGCAACCCCCGGAATGCACCAAGCGGAGGGCTCACGATTTGTTTCCTTTGCTCGGGTGCAGAGTTTCAGAGTTATTGTTTGGGGTGTAAGTAGGTAGAAGGCGTTCCGGCTATGAGGCTGTTGTAGGAGAACTACTATAGAAGGAGCTCTCATGTGGAACCTTCCAAGCTCGAAATCCTCTCCCCGAAGCCCTGCAGACCCTCAACTCCCGAATCCTTGACACCCCAAGCCCTAGACTCTAAATTGTAAGCCCTCAATCCTAAACTCCCTACCTTAAACACCAAACCCACAAGTCCCGCAGAGTCTGCTTGAGCAGCAGCTGTCACTAGGAAAGCTCGTCGTGTGAGTTTTGCGGGACCATATTTTGGATTTCATTCCTTTAAGGGTTACCGGGAGGGCGACTAGGGTTCGTAGGGTTCGGCAGAGGTTTAGCGGTTTCAGGGTCATGCTGAGGGCTTGGCGGCATCCAGGTACAGGTTACAGGGTAGCATATGTGCTGCAGCTTTTGCAGAGTGAAGCTGGTCATATTTGACATGTGGTCTCAGAGTTACTCTGCGTTCACTTGGACGTATCTGCCTCGCACTTCTTTCTACTGTACCAAAGCTTTGCTACGGTATCCCGGGTCTTGCTTGTTGGAGATGGCCGTGGCGGCTCGGCCTCATACCCTCCAAACTCTGAACCCCCAATTCCTAAACCCTCACCTCGAAAAGACCCTAAATCTTTTTTTGTGAAGACCCTAAACTTGGTGGTTCGGGGTGACCATAAGCCTTAACATACATGTATATGTATAGGTATATATGTTTATGTATATGTATATGCACCGATGTATCTATGCATATATATAGATAATATAGTCACATTCATATGGAAGGATTTGCCAGTTGTTTGAGGCTTTCGGTTCGAAGGGTCTTTGAGGTTCAGGGCTCAGGATTTAGATGGGCCTTTTTCATAGCCCAGGGGTGCATGGAAGCCGCACTTGCAGCCCAAGAAACCTGCCTGTTTAAAGGAACTATAAAGAATCCATATAAAGGAACCCCGAAAAGGTTGAGTGTCGCGGTGCTTCAGCTACAGCTAGACCGTACGCGCTAAACCCCAAGGCATTTCCCGTACACTACGCTTTATCTTAGACCCTAAGTTCAGACGGTTCAGCCTCTAGGGATTTGGGGTTCAAGTCGGGGGTTCAGTGAGGGTTTAGGCTTCAGGTTGGGATTCAGGTTTCTGGGGTTTTGTCCTTTTTCCTCTCGTCTGGACAAGTAGTCGTGTATGAAGAAGAGAGGGAAGCTTCAATTGAGGCAAGCCCTTCAGCGCGTTGAGTCCTGAACCCTGGCCTTCAAAGCTAAACCTAGAATGTAAATACTTAGCCTCAATCCCAAATCCCGAGACAAACCCAAAGCCCTAAGCTCTAACCCTGAAAAACCCATATAGAAAGTTTGATAAAACCATCCAAACCCCGACAAAAAGTGTGTAAACCCTTAAAGCACCTGGCTTGCTCAAGGTGGATCAGCCGAGCAGTTGGGGTGGCTTCGTCAGTGCTGCCTATACCAAGGCCTCCCACATCTTCCTAGAAAGCTTGAAAGTGTTTAACTAAGGAACCGATTTGACATAATCTTGTTCAGGACTTTCCTGAACCCCACATCACCTACCTTTTCCGGATTCGTTTATCATTTTGTGGTTCCTTTATGTAAGTCCCCAAACAAGGTAGTTTCTCTTCTAGGATCCAGATTTTTCCAAACTTATTGATTCTTGGGCCTTCTTGTTTTTTCGAGTTGGCCATGTGTGAGGGATGGGGAGCGGGTTCAAGAAGGTTTATAGGGCTTGGATACATGCATACATACTTACATACCTACACACAAGCACGCGCACGCACGCACGCACGCACGCACGCACGCACGCACGCACGCACGCACGCACGCACATCAAGCAGCATAGGCTTGCATGCAGGTGTGAGCAGTTATAAGTATAAATACACCAAGTCCGTGGCTAGGCTCTAGCTGCAACCCAGCACAACTCCAAAGCTTTGTCTCTAAACCCTGGTAATTACCTGTACTACTTTGGGGGTTCCGTGTTAAAAGTATAGTCTAATCCGAAAGCCCTTTATCTCATCATTACGGCCCTTATATTGCTCTCCTAGTTTAGGGTCCCTGACGTCAAGAACCTAAACCCTAGACCCTAAACCCTAAACCCTGAACCCGAATCCCAAACCCGAAGCCCCAAAACTTCCACACAGAAGCGCCAGAAATCCAGACAGCCCAAGATCCCTCAGTGCCAATTGCCAAACATGTGTGTATTCAGAGAGATATGTGCATATATATATATATATATACATATAAATGTATATATGTATATATGTATATATGTGTATATATATATATACATATGTTTATATATTTATGTATATATATATATATATATGTATATCTATGTATATGCATGTGTGAACTTTGCTTCACAGCCTTCCGAGCAAGGCCGGATTCAGCAGCGAGAAGTCCAAGGCAAGCGCCCTTGGCTTTCTCAGCGCCTTGTTTTAGGGTTCAGGGTTGGCGGCGCGGTTCAGAGTTTAGGGTTTGGAGTGTATGGGTTTTTGACAATGGGCTCCGGGTGGATCAGGGCCCTCGTAACTACGAGTCCGGGGTTTGGGCACGTCCTTTACATGCTAGTCTGGGTTCAGTGGCTAAGTTTACTGTTTTTGCCAGGGGTCAACAGGTTTAGGGCTTCATTCTCGTGCTGCGTTAAAACATAGGGTTTGACGCTTTTCCTGAGTCAAGGGTTTAATGTTTGAGCTGCGCTATGAAGGCTTTGCCGTGTTTCACAGTGTATTGCTGGTTCCCACGTGCCGCTTATAGGAATTTGCCTTGATTTGCAGATGCTCAGGAGCCGCGGAAACCCTAAACCCGAAACTCCTCAACCCTAATCCCTAAACCCTAAACCCGAAACCTAAACCCCCAAACCCCCTGATCCCTAAACCCAAGACCCATAAACCCCTAAACCCCTAAATCCGAAACCCTAAACCCTCCGGTTCGAGATGTTATCCCATAAACGTCTCCTTTAAGCGCTCCTCAAGGGGTGCCCTTGCGGGTTACCGCAAGGATCGTGGGACTTAGCAGCTGGAGTTATAAGTCACGGTTTAGGGTTTAGGGTTTAGGGTTATAAGTGAGGAAACTGCAGTTATATGTACTTCTTATCCGAGTTCAAGTAGTCACAACATGTGCCATGATCTTGCAAGTACCTTGAAGGATAGCTTGAGGGTTCCTACACGGGCTATTCTAAAGGTTCCCAAAAACAAGGATTTTTATGGAGGTTCTATTGGGGTTTAGGTTTAGGGTTTGGGCTAGGGTTTAAGGCCTGGGTTCTTGCAGTGCGTTGGATTGAGACAATTCGATGGGTTTCCGTGCGAAGTGAAGGAGCTGCAAGTTTTCCCAAGTTCCTGCTCCGTAGAATCCCAAAGTGTAAGGCGTATATACAGCCCTTAACAAAGGCACCATGAAACCCTTTTGCTACAGTTTTCAAGGCCTCTTTTGCATGAGTTGTTGTGTTTCAAGGAGTTCTACAACGAGACTGCTGAGATCTACGACAAATTGGCCCATCCGGAAGTTGTCTGGCTGAGTTTAAGTCACCAGTACATTCAATCATTCCATGTATACAGCTACTTACAGCTTTTAACACTGAATCCATTTCTAATAAAGTTTCAGGAGCGCTTGAACAAGTGCTTAATGGGCCAGGTGCGATGGCGTGATGAGAAGAGCTAGCAGGGGTTTGTGGGAATTGATGGGGTGTGAGTGAGGGCTGAGTAGGGGCTTGAATGGGGCTCAATGTTGGCTGAATAAGGGCTTAATTGGGGCTTAGCAAGGACTTAGTGAGGTTGTGTACTCTGAAGTTCCATCGGGAGTGCACCCTTTCGGTTAGCTCAGTGCACAGTCTGAGGATCAAATTCCGACTGTCGAGCAAAGACACCCAACAGAACCATGCAACACGGTCTTGGGCTTAGGGTTGGTGTAAAGTCTATCCGCATTTTCCTTGCAGAAATAGAAGGTCTCCCAGTATATCAAAGCTCTAGATTTGTATCTGATGCACCTGCCCTGCTTGTCCGTCATCGTGCTCCAAATGAGGGTCCCAGACACATGAGACACAGTATGACCCTCGAATGATGTCTGTTTTGATTCGGTTGGCCGTGAGACTGTCCGCATTGTACGGTAAATGCTCGACGGAACGCACCTTTGCTATTCGTGATGCTTCTCCATTTTCTTTGACCCTCCCAGTTATTCATTCCGAGGTTT